CCGCCGTGACGTCTCTCTGAATGGTCTGGATGTCTTTTGCCGCGTCCCTGATTTGATGGAGCACCTCACCCACCGAAGGCTGCTGTAGAATTGTTTTCCCATGAATGCTTCAATCGCCAAATGGTAACAACAAGTCTCCACGTGTCTGAACACAGCTGAAAGCGGGATGATAGCCGTAGCGAGAGCTGAGTAGTAAGTAGAGCCTCGAACAAACTTACCATGATCTGTTCCGAAAATCGTGCGACTACACGAGAGAATGCCTCATGTTGGGGACCAAGTACGTCGTGGAGGTATTGATCTTCTCGTCTAGCACGATAAGGATGTTTTTCCAGAAGGCGTGATGCAATACTTCAACCAACTCAGGCATAGACGGGTTTGCTTCGTGTCGAAAAAGGTCATCTCAGCTGCAACCGACTTCCAAGGCCTGCCTTACCCGCCATCAGTGATTATCATACCCTTGAGATTCATTTTTCAAGCCCACATAGACCTATGGAAGTGCGATGTGGGCAAGCATCCCATGCGCCTGTGAATCCCACATTCTAAAATCTCATTTGTCAACGTGCCCTTACCTGCGCAGCGACATTACTCGACTCATCGGTAGAGAAAGATAAGAATGATATAGTGGGTCCTAAATAGACGTCCTTCCGTACCAAGGCCCACTGGAGGCTGCCCGCTCTCGAGGATCGCTAAAGTCGCGCTATCCAAGACCCGAAATTGATGCAATACCTGCTCCTCCACCTTTCGATCTCAAATTTTCAGTATATTTAAAGATCTTTCACCATTTATGGCGTTCGCGATATTGAGTAGCGTGACTGGAAACATTCAATCACTAATCATCACACGTGTTTCATCACTAATCATCCGATTTTGCATCTAGTTACGGCCGAAGCAAGTAAATCTGACTTCAAGTGTGAGTTGTGAGGTTACGCACTATCTGGTGGATAAGGCTATGGCTAACAATGCTGTCTGTTTGGTATACTGTAGCCCATATCATTCTACTTCCCTTGTCTAGCATAATCCTTCTGTTCCCTTTCGACGGGTTTGCAGAACGACACACTTACGCTATCATTCAGTTGCTTGCATTTGATTTTCCCGCTTGAACTGGCGCAGGTCGCGGTTATGGTAGCGAAGACGAACGCCCGCGGCCCTACAAGTGGATTTACCGATGTCTCGGACGATGATGTACAACTCCCCCCAGGCTACGACAGGGCAGGATCTACAGTTTTTCAGCCATTGAAGGTAGGAGCTTTCACGTTGCAGCACCGCATTGTCCATGCTGCGTTGGGCAGAAGTCGAAGCGTCAATGGCCAAGAGAGTCCGTTAGCGGCCACGTACTTTGCACAGCGTGCTACTCCAGGAGGACTTCTTATCTCCCAAGCTACCGGTGGTAAGCCAGAATGGATGGCTTGGCCATTTTCCGCCTCGCTACATTCTGAGGCCCAGGTTCAGGCTGTAGCTCGTATTGTTGAAGCAGTACATGATAAAGGTGCATTTTGGTTCCACCAGCTGACTCACGTTGGCCGCTGCACCTCCCCAGCTCTTGTCAAATTAGCTTGGGAAAGAGCTGGGCACATCGAGCCTCCACCTTATGGCTTTAAATCTCTATCGGCTTCTGAGATTGAGGAATCTGGTATCAACACCCATTCCGGCGAACCGTTCGGCATACCTCATGCGGTTTCCAAAGAACAAATCAAGGAGATCCGTGAAGATCTCAAGAACTCCGCCCAGAACGCGGCTAGAGCCGGGGCAGACGGAATAGAGGCGAGCTACCCTCCTAATACAAACCCATCTCGAGCTAACTTTTCCAGATTCTCGCAGGCAACGGCTTCCTCCTTGATCAATTCCTCCACGATAACATCAACCAGCGCACCGATGAGTATGGGGGCTCGATCGAAAACCGATCAAGATTTGTATTGGAAGTCGTCGACGATATTGCCGAGGTTTTTGGTCACCAAAAGATTGGCGTTCGAATCAGTCCATTTTCAAAGTGAGTAAGCATCATTAACTCGACTCGTGCATGGTCATTGACGCAATTCTCCTAGTTTTCATGAGACCGATGGCTCTCAACCTTTGGCTCAACTGCTTCACTTAACGAGGGAACTTGCTCTACGTGGGGTCGCATACGTGCATGTTGGTGAAGCTCGAGTATCGAGAAATTTGGACATCGAGGAAAACTTGAAACGGCTCCTGGACAAAGGTATAGCCGCTGAGGATATATCTTTACGCCCCTTCAGGAAGCTACTTAGAGAAGTCCAGCCCATCGATCCCTCACATACTCCGGCTGTTCTCTTTGGTGCTGGAGGTTACACCTCGGCCACCGCGATTTTGACAGTGGATGAGGATCTCGCAGATGCGGTGGTTTTTGGCCGACGATTTATCTCGAATCCAGATTTGGTGGATCGGGTGCGCCTAGGATTACAATTGACACCATATGATCGTGAAACTTTCTACACTCACGGCGCCAAGGGCTACATCACCTACAAAAACTATCACGAGAGTCAGGGTTTGAAAGTCTTGCAAGATAATGGGATGGCCAGCGGTGCCCCAAATTCGACGACCACCGGCACAGCCGGCAGTGAGATAGTGAGTGGTACTAACGGTCACACCATTCGTAAGAGAGTTGCTATTATTGGAGCTGGAATATCAGGCATCGTATCAGCAAGCGCATTTCAGCGACTTGGGGATGAGTTTGACATCCAGGTCTTCGAGCGAAAATCAGTACCAGGAGGAAGTTGGGTTTACGATGAAGTCTCCAACACTATTCCGAAATTCCCATCTGAAACCCCCGACGCAGTCAATCCCCCGGTTCTTCGACCGCAGGGTAGCTTGCCGTTGACGGTCCCTCGCAATACACAACAACGCTATACATCGTCCCCCCTGTATAAAACTCTTTACGCCAATATCCCTTTCGACGTTATGACGAGGTCCTCCGCTTTCAAGCTTGCGGACCCGACACCAGAGTTTGCACCATATCTCTCGGCAGCTCAGTTGGTAGATGGCGTTGCACAAATTGCCCATCAATATGATGATTTGATCCAGTACAATAGGACAGTCGAGAATGTTAAAAAGGTTGGCGGGAATCACGAAAAGCTCAAACTAACATTGAGGACTGAAAATGCGGATCTCACAGATACATGATCCGAGGAAACCTTTGATTTTTTGATTGTAGCCACTGGACACAACTCTGTACCTCATGTACCCGCCATCCCAGGGCTCGAAACCTGGAAGGGTGAAGTCCGACACAGTACTACATGGAGGTCTGGAGAGGAGTTTAAATCGCAGGTAAGAAACGTGAACATACCCACCAATCCCCAGGTCGTCTCTTTGCTAACCGCTGTGAGATAGGGCATTCTCATTGTCGGATCCAGCGAAAGTGCCATCGACCTGACGCTGCAGAGTCTACCGTACGCAAAATCGCCCGTGTATGTGTCCCAACGTACCCCACATCCACGGTTCCCGACGATATTCGACCGTAAAGGGGTAGAAGTTGTCTCAACGATTTCTCACATCTCTGGGAAAGAAATTCATTTCTCTTCTGGTGTAGTATTGACAAACATCGACACAATCGTCTTTTCGACGGGTTATTTCTTCACTTATCCATTCTTGAGTCAGATCCGGCCATCGGTACTTAGTGGCCAGCGGGTCCCAGGTTTATATCAGCACATTTTTGATACCTACAACCCGAATATCGCTTTCATCGGAGTGGCGACTGGGACCCTTGCTTGGCTTGCTTGGGAAAAATCTGCATTCTTGACTGCTCTTCTATGGTCAGGCCGAATCAGATTACCCCCAATCGAAGAGCAGAAGAAGTGGGAAGCGCGTCGACTGGCTCAGACAGGACCTAAAGATAAAATGTTCCATATCCTTGCACGCCCTAGCGAGCGTGTGATCTATTTCGATGAGCTGAACGAAATAGCTGGGGAATACCTTAATACTGACACACCCGACGATGAGCTCCTCAGATCGTTCCCCTGGGACTGGATTGTGGCCCTTGGAACCAGTCATGCTCGGAAAGCTCAATTCTATGGCATAGCTACTTAAAGAAATGTAACGGCCAATTTCGACTCAGATAGATTTGTGTAAAGAACTTTAAGAGATGGGGGGTTCAACGTCTTATCTTTAGAAGAAGACGATATATTTTAACAATTGTCTCATACCTCCAGTGATCAAGGGTTTGATAGTATTCTCGCCAGCCGATCGCATTTCGGCATCAGATGCGCTTGACTTGATCAAAGCATCCTAAGAGAAAGCTGGTAACTTTTTTCCTCTACCCGGAGCCTGGGCAGCTCCTGCGAGTGAGAAAGCTTGTATTGAAAAGGGCTAGAAGTGCGCTCTTAGGCATGGCATCAAATGATCTAGTGCCGAGTCGTTGAATCCACGATCAATCCATCCTTATCGTCGGAACTACTGTTACCCTACATTGTCGAGCGTGTCGCTGCCAACCAGGGCGCCAGCAATAGCTGTCTTGAAGGGGAAACCAGCATTATTATAGCAAAGGCTTTCATTAGCAGCGTTGGAGTCCGCGGAAGGGAGGATGCCTGTTTCTGAACCAATTCCCGGGCCTGGAAAAGCTTTTGCGGTCGCTTGCCCTTGATCATAATTGATATCCCGAAAATCAAAACGGTCGACTGGACTTACTGATGAGAAGTCATCCCTTTCGAATGAAGTTGTTCCCGAGACGAGCATGAAAGAGGGCCCGATACGATCGGGCGTTGTGCTTTCATTTACATTGATGCATGTGTCTCGCCCACGGACGTAGTCAGTATTCTACGGCGGAGGCAGGAGAGCTCGCCGAAAATCTTCTGCCTGTGCACAAAAGCCGACAATCTGGGCAGTCGAATCAGGATACCGCTGACATAATATGTCAAGACTATCGGCTAGACATGTGCAAGTACTCCCGGCGCGAAGTTCAAGGGCTTCAATCAAGAAACGTTGAAAACTCTGGCAGGCTGTATGTTTTGCAGGAGACAAAACCTCCATTTGATTTGTTGAACTGAAAGTGGGGAAGGGTGCGGTACTATGTCGGCTCGATTGGCAGGACCGAGGGGAAAGCTGTTACGAAATTTACTCAACCAGGAATCTTCCCTAGCGCTTTATCGCATGTTAATGCCCTTTCGAGGGCTCCGTTTGCCGAAAAACGTAGTGGGTTCAGTCAAAAATAGTATACAACTATTCATAGATCCTTGAAGTCTAAATTTAAGTTGCTCACGTCATGAAGAACGTCACGTGCATAAACCGTCACCCGTGCGAGAGAAAGGAAGAGCTACCATTCCCCGTCGACTTGATCTCGCTGGATAAGCACCATGGAGTCGTGCTTCAATGGGTTTCTCTGTGCTACGAAATAATCGTTGGTGGCGCTAAATTGAAGATGATCTCGTGTAGAACGCGATGGGCTTAAAGCGAGACATCACTCTCACTACACAGTTCAAGTCAACAGCGAAGCGTGGTGGAAAGGGGCAGACGCAAGGGAAACCGGTTTACAATCAGTCGCGAGGGACTATAGGGGGAATTTGCTGTACAAAGCACCCATGGTGGGCGAACTCCGTGTCATTCATCAAGCGCGACGAAGCAGGAGTGGTGGTTCGAGAGTACCAGCCATGAAGTAGCATTCCGGCGCACCGTAGCTTCGAGGAGGCTGAGCGGGACCATGACGAGGTCGGACCTACGGCACAATCATACCGTCACATCTGACGGTGTACACAAACTTTCACTATAAGACTATTGAAGATCATCCATTTGACATAGAGCCGAGTCCCGAAAATGAGATGACTTCCGATCGAAAAGCTCTTACTTATGGCACTGAACGCACTTCCGACACACAGGATTACTGGTCTCCCCGTATTGGTTTTGTACCCTTTTCGAAGGAGGAACAAGGACTGCGGCAACGAAGAACATTACGTATGAATGTGAGAAATAGTAGCGCAGCACGGGAAGAGGACGAGGCACAGGAGGGGGACGAGGCACAGGAGGAGGACGAGGCACAGCAAGAGGACGAAGCACAACAACAAGATGATGCACGAGAAGTAGACGAAGAGGACGAGGAACGGGAAGAGGATGATGCACAGTGGGAGGACGAAACACAACAACAAAATGATGCACAGGAAGAGGATGCTGAGGAGAACTCATCCCAGGAAGAAACAGATGAAGATGACCACGAAGATCAGATGTCTAGTCCGACTCCAGTGCGACAGAAGAAGTCAAAGAATTCTGCGAGAAGACTCCCAGGTGTTGACCCTGTCAGTCAAAGAAGACATTCAACCTATCGCCAATCCAAAAAACGGCCTCTTGAGGATATTTTCCCCCAAGGCTCTTCCTCAAAACGTTCTAAGGCAGTAACGTACATGGACAATGAGCTCCAAACACCTATTATTACCACTACACGCACGGAAGCCCCTATCAATCTGTTCCTTTGGGAGGAATGGGACATGAAAAGATCAGCCATGATGAAGGATAATCAACACAGTGACCACTCTGTTAAAGCTGTCCGGGTATGGAAGGGGTTGTATGCGAAATATAGCCCAGGCTTTCGTGCAGTCGAAAGGGACAAGACACGTTTCGGGTCAAATTCGATAAAATTTGCTTGACGGTGTTAGGGATCGCCAATTTTTGTAGCTTTCTGGCGCTACGAGAGGTTATGGGTCTTTTGCAGCAGGACAGAGCAGCATGGAATTCCGAGATCTTCAGCAATGATCCTAAGGTTCTATTGGAAGCGGTCGGCGCTTTTGAAACGGCCGGTCACCTAAACAGCTACATACGACGATTCACGTTGGCGCGTCCGGCCAACGTGTATCTTGAAACAGCGGCAAACGGAGGACGCCTAACACTCGACAATGATCCAGCCTGTCCATTCCCGCGGATGGCGATAACCAAGGCGCACAAAGCAGGGACCTACAAGGCTATGATACTCCATATATGGGGCGTACAATTCCATACACAACGCAATGGAGTCAAATTGACAAAACGAGGCTTGATTGACTCATCTACCGCTGATGCGTTGCAGTGGAACAAATGTAAGGGCCGACTCCATCACAAAATCGATGCCGGCCAACGCTGGCTGAGCCTGGCCCACAAGTTTGGCTGGTCCACTCTTAGCCTGATTACACGAGACTGGTCCTTTGGAGATAGTACAGTGACCGCTAGTGACCACTTATAAGTAAGGCCTCCGAGCGATTCCAGGAGAGAGCTAAAAAAGAGCTACAGTTTTGAGGAAGATCTTACAGTTTCAGAGTACAACAACCTGTTGGACGCAATCGAAGGACAACACCTTCGACAACTTGACAAAGCGCTGAACATGAACCTTTTTGATTTGTTGAAGGACCCAAAACGGGCGCAGGATCTTCCCTTGTTACAGCTAACAGAAGAAGAGATCATAACACGAGCGGATAATGATCCAGAATGGATCAATACGTGTTGCCACCTTCGACGTAGTTGCTTGACCCCACGGACAGATATCTTTACATTCCTGACCAAATCCTGGTATGGAACGTGGTGATGGATCAGACCAGGAGGTGGCCCAAACGTAGCTAAAAGCAACGAGTTCACCCCTGAGATTGATGAACTTCTTGATATTGTTGAAGGAGCCACGACGCAACAATTCTGGGAGAAGTCTATGGCAATCAACTGAAGGTCGTATCAAAGAATCAATGACCAGATCAGGCGCGAGGACTCAAGCAGAAGGGCGGTGAAGTGGTCATTATTGAATTCTGCGCAACCGTAGTTCCCCACAGGTATAGCGTTTTAATAAAAAGGCTACTGCAGCGAGCATTGTGGCTCGAAAGGCACCACTTTTAGCAGTTCCGGATCCCAGAGTAAGTAAATACCAAAAAATGTTTATCTTCTGATTGTTGTTGCGATCGAAATCAGGCTTGAGCAGGGTCATCCGATTGTATCTGTGCAACTTAGTGGTGTTAGTGAATGGTGGATATCTCAAGGCCAACATCGGTTCCATCCAGCTGGGGGTGTGGATGATAGAACGGCGATGTGTGAAGCAGTCGAAAGAAGCTCTGCCACGATATGAACCACTTCCCGAATCTCCTACACCTCCAAAAGGGAGATTGGGTATAATGCCGTGGAAAAGGCCGTCATTAATGCTTGCCCCACCGGATCTAGTTCCAGCAAGGACTTTATCCGTCTCTGCTAGAGTTCCAAAAGCATAGATCCCCAATGGCGTTTCATGGATCTCGTTGGCGGTACTGATGGCATGATCCAGATTGTCCACCGGGAGAATAGGTAGCAAGGGGCCAAACGACTCCTCGACTAGCACCGAATCACGCGGATCTGTAACCTCGATGACTGTAGGCTCTATGAAGAGTTCTTCGGCATCGAGGGCTCCGCCAATGACAACTTTCCCAGATGATTCATCCAGCATTTTCTTAATTCTGTTAAAAGAGTTGATGTTGACTATCCTCGAAAAATCCGCACTCTTCTTCGCTCCACCGGGAAAGAATTCTTTCATGGCAACTCGAAGCTCCTGAATTAGATCTGGTACCACTACTCTGTCGGCTAAGATGTAATTTTGGCTCATACAGACTTGTCCTGCATTCATCGTCTTGCTCCAAAGGAGGCGTCGTGCAGCTAGCCGGATATTGGCGTGTTTGCTAACAATGGCTGGATTTCTTCCGCCAAGCTCGAGAGCCACGGGGGTCAGGTTCTTTATAGCGGCCTGTGCTACAATCCTTGCAGTGCGTGCAGATCCGGTGAAAAAGATTTTGTCCCAGTGTTGATCCAGCAAGGCAGTGGTCTCGGGTACAGCACCTTGCACACATGCATAACAGTCTTGATCGAGGGCTGTCTCCATAATCTTCTGCATAACTGCTGCAGAGTTAGGGCATTGTTCAGATGGCTTCAAGACAACGGTATTGCCGGCGGCGATGGCTCCAATCATTGGGCTAAAAGATAGGTGGACGGGAAAGTTAAATGGTCTACTAATGCATTAGTATTCGCGAAGAACAACTTTGTACAAACCTAAAGAGTACTGACCCGGTTATAAGGACGACACCAAGAGGGTCCTTACGAATTTTTGGTGTGAGTAGTTTGTCCATGAGTGCAATATCAGCAGGGGTTTCATCCTTCATCCACTGGTGGAGTGACTGTGTTGCGAAGATAATTTCATTGGTGATGAAATTGATCTCAGCAGCATATGTCTCGAAAGTGCTTTTGCGCAAATCCCGATCCAGTGCTTCCAATAGTTCTTTTTCATTGTCGACCATCGCCCAGTAAAGCTGGCGTAGTTGGCGGATACGATATTCTGCAGGGCGGGTTTTTTGTGATGAGTACGTTTTGCGAAGTCGGGAAACGATTGACGGGATGTCGTCGATTAGCGTATGCTTGAATGGTGGAAGTTCGAATAGAGCCATTTTCGCTTTCGTCAAGAGCACAGCAATTTTCAAACCATGGATTTTTGGCGCGGACAGCACAATCTGGAGAGGGCCATGCTGGAAGCCTATGCTCACAATATAGACATTCGAAAGAGATGCATTTCAATAGGGAACACCCCGATGCTCAAGAGACATGACAAAACAAGAGATCTTGAAGATACCTCGGTCAAAGTAGTGGGGAGTCGCACTCTCATCGATGGTACGAAAACGGAGGATCATTGACGACAAATCATTCATAATCAACGCTCAAGGGTCTGCAGTGTGGTAGCTACTAGGTTTGATAGCTAAATTGAGTAATTCTTTGACCAATGACGAGAATGGATGCATGGAATTGACGTTGTGGATCTACTCCATTATTTGTTCCTTTGACTCTTCGACTCCCAGCCCCACGGGGTTGGTAACTCCGACCACCATTGACTACTGTAGTCAGGAGGTGTGTCCCTTCCCGCCACTTCAATAATATCTTAGCCTTGTCGCTTACTGAAACCATGTGTAAGAAAAATGTGACAGGACTTATGCGAAGTCGAGTAAGCCGGGTTTACTAATTCATTAGATAATTTACTGTTGAGTTACTGTTGAGTAATGGTCTTCAAAATCTGACTACGCTAGGAGTCAAGCGAGCCGTTAGATCACGGCAGGGCGCAGCTAACTTAGTTTGGCGTCCGAGAATCTCCGCGCGAGACCACGTACGGAAGCTCAGGAGCAGTCTTTTCCTGCTTCGGTACAGACGAGTCCCAAACTAGCCCTAGAGAGTGCATATGATTTACTTGCCCGGTCTAACACTGCAGGCTTGCAATGTGCACCGTAAGTATATTGGTCAGAAGCTAATGTGAATTGAGAGGAGCAACTGGCTGTTGAATTTCCACATTCGAAGACTACAACGCATCTCCTATCTTCGGATTTGACGCACTAGTCCCATCCACATGATTTTCCGTGGCGTATCAGTGCCTGACTCGGTGTATGTTACCCAGTGGTGGATTGGTTCAGAGAGGACAAGGCTGTTCAAGCGACATCAAAGCATTGAACGTGGTTCGTCCGGTAAGAAGCCCTCTAAACCAAGAACTCCGTCTGTTGCCGTCTCCCATGCTTCCCTATTCTTTATGTACAACTCAATCGTCGCCTTAGGTATAGGAATACCGCGTTTCGCAAAAAGCCCGCCTTTTAGCCATACCAGGTCAGGTGTCTCTTCAATACTAGTAAAAATTGCACTAATGGTGCATTGCTGCATTAGTCATGTAAAGTGAGGAGGATGGGAGACAAAGCTGCTGGAGCGGACAAGGGAAAACAAAGATTCTCATCTGCACTTCTGGAAATGGGAGACAACATACGAGCCACAGCTTCCGCAGAAGTTGCGATTGCACGTCCGGCCGCTGTCGGCTTTCTGAGTAAAAATCTTTGGCGTGCCATTAACCTTCAGGGCCTTGGTAGCCAAAGGAAGATTGACCGCAAACCTATTGATAAGTCACAGTCAGTATGTTTAAAGTGAACGTCATAACATTGAATCGATACGCACAGCGATCCACTCGAAGCGCGACAGTTAATACAGTGACACAACCCGGAGAAAGTTGGAAATTCTGTAAAGGCAATCTCAACAGAAATAGCCCCACAGTTACATGTGCCACGAACGACTTCCTTTGATGCGGTCATAATCAAGGGATCTTTACAAGGCCGAAAGTTGTAGAGAACCTCCAAGATCTCAGTGCATCGACCTGGATATTCAATCTATGTTTAATGCGATTCTGATCTCTGTCAACTTGTGATCATTAACCAGGAGAGCGCCTCGGAAAGATTAAATATCAGTAATCAGAAGCGGAATATTAGGCACCTAAGTACAACCTCCAGTAGTGTCAGCAGACTCGCACAGAGACTCTAGACGCAGCCATGATGTGCGCCTTTGCGTCAGTATCCCATAGTTGAGGTGATCGACGTGGAAGCACCGGAGCCAGGCAGTAACTTAGTTGAATTCACGAATGGCAAGTTGTACTCTCGACACAAAAGACATCTGGAATGATGAGTTATGGCAGCATTGAAAGGTGCTTAGCCTGATAACATAGCTGCGAAAAAGGATCTATTGACAAACTATCTCACTCTACTCTGCAATCGTTTTGACAGCGATTTTGCTCATTTGCGCCCCTTCAAATTCTAGCACGAGCATCGCATTTTGATCTTAAGTATCGCTTCAAATTTTGCTCTGTATTCTTGGAAGTCCCAAGCCCCTTGGAGATAATTTGCACCGCTTTCTGCCCAATGACTAGCGCTGTAGAATAAGTGTTTCCTGCAACCATACGTGGCACGATCGATAGATCTAGATATCTTTAGTACACCTCACACGTCAAGATCGAGGAAGCAAATCATTACCTGCAATTTTCAAACCATAGACGCCATGGACGTTAAGGTCTTTATCTACAACACCCCCTTCCTCTAGTGGCTTCATGGCGCAGGTCCCCGCGGAATGCCACATCGTGCTCACCGACTGCCTTAGAAACGACTCAATCGCTTCATCGTCGTCTTTTGTGTAGACAACGTCCTTTATTTTTGTTTTATCACTGCCCACTCCCTTCAGGTACGAATCATCGAGTTCAAAGCTGGCCCTGGAGTACTTACTGAACTTGGGATGCGTGGGAAGGAATGCTCCGTTGTAATCTTCCATTCGCCGTGCTATTTCCCTTGTCTTCTTGTATGTCCATGCCAGAATCTTGATGTCGGACGGGTCTGAGAAAAACCCTGTGTCAAACTCGGGCCCGTTTACCAGAGGATTACCAAGAGTATGGATGTATCCTCGCGAGCGCCCATACGATGTGGCGAGTGCAAAAGTGAAATATTGTCCTGGCGGTGCTGTGGAAACATAAGGGCTAACGAGCGAACAACCACCTGCGAAAAAGGCGACAGGTCTCTGAAGTGCCTCATAGTCCTCTTTGTAAACTTGCTGAAACTCCGGATCCATCGCTTCTAGCTCCGAGGCGGTAGGATTGATCTTGCCCCCGATGAGAACTCCAGTCCAGCCTGCTATACCAGTTCCACCTGCGGACATCTGATCCAGGGAGTGACGCCCTTGCCAAAGTGCATCCAACGTCTTCGTTGGATCGGTCTTTGACATGTAGCTGACCAGAAGCAGTTGATGGTCCATGTATGATTCTCCAACGGCGTTGTTGTTAAACACTAGGGGGATATGTAGCTCTCTCAGGCGTTTTTGGGAGCCAATGCCAGAGCGTTCGAGAATTTGAGGTGTATTTAAGGTGCCACTAGACAGAACGACTTGCTTGCGGGCGAGTATAATAGTGCTCGAGACTAGTTCAACTCCAATGGCCCGCTTCCGAGAATTGAAGAGGACGCGGTTGACAGTTTGATCTGGCAGCACTTTGAGGCCTGTGCTGCGATTGTCGAGCAGGGGATGAAGAATATAGTGTGCTGGGTCAGATCGCCGGCCTTTCTGCGCATCAACCCACGATGGCATTGCCTAGGTACCGTCAGCTGTTCGTTGCAAGAATACTTCCATCATTTTAGACTCCCTTGACTCTAAGTCATCTCAGTACATGAAAGTCAATCACTGATTACTCACAGATATGCCGTTCGTGGTCTTGAAATCTTGAGCGTCAGGGACGATATTCATTCCTGCGATGGCCGATGCTTTCAACCACTTCTCGACTTCAGCCTGATGCCCTACAAACCCTCCACCATGGCTAACTTTCAGCGGTCCTGTGTGGCCATGGGTATCTCGCCCCACTCCGTGCTCTCCTTCACAGTAATTCTCAAGCTACTCATGAGTCAGCAAATAGTCCACGGTCCTCGTGGATGAAAAATACATCTTTGAAGAGTGGTATCATGTCCTGTGCGCCCCATCCATCCGTTTTCCAGGCATCGAAATCAGAGGCTAGAGGCCTCGAATACATCATGAAGTTAATCGAGCTTCCACCACCCAATATTTGGCTGGACATAATAGGCATTGCTCGGTCTGCCAGCTTGCTATTGGTTTTTGCGTCATAGAACTTTTGCACCTTTGAGCCCGGGTCGAGGTTAGTTATGAAGAGCGACGGAATGGTCACATTCGGTTTGTCCCTGTTATCCGGGCCCGCTTCGATAAGGAGAATGTCCAAATCTGGGTGTGCCTCTGCTAGATGGCCTGCGACAATGCACCCCGCAGCCCCTCCTAATCAGGTTGTAAAGTTAGAGATAGTGCTTTCGAAAAACACCGAATCGTACCTCCAGCAATTATGAAATCCGCTATCAGGGGAATAGTGGTCTCCATTGTTCCCACAGTACTCTTCCTCTTTTTACAATGCTTCTTTCTGAAATACACTAGGACGCTGGAGGCCGATGGGACACCAGTTGAAGGAATTATACGGAAGAGCTTTAGTGAGGCTGGCAAAACAGTTGGCAAGTCTCATTATGAATAAAGTTATTCAGGGGATACGGAGAATATGGAGTTCGCTGCTGAGGCATTTGTGGGCTTGCGGGGCATCCACAAAATGTCCGAGGACGGCTGGGGAGGGACTATCAGTAAGCAGAAGTAGGCCTCGGCCATTGCTGAGTGGATGAACGTCATATCTTTTCGCCGACTTTGGGCGAGACAAGTCTTTACCCTGTTTGTGGAAACCCCCTCCCCTCCACGCACATTGGATAGCGGAGTTGATAAGCTACGGGCAGGTGTTCGCGTCAAATGGCAACTTGTAAGAGTGGTTGAATGATCGACCGGGGATTCCGCCTAGGAAGAGGCGCAAATCAGCCTTCTTGGCGACTTCAGGAGGTACACTTTTAGCATCATCGTCATGGAAGGTTAAGCGAGGCAAGTATACCCACTAGGGTTGGTGAAGTGTGGCGCTGAGTCAGCAAAACGGCGGGTAGCTGTCACGGAAATACTGAATTTCCCTGTTCTTCTCTCACATGTACGCTATGCACACGTTAGGATACCTCGAGGATGGGGGACCACATTCTATTATCAATTCACATCTACAAGCGCGCAAACGACCACAAAATTTAGCTATCCTTATGTAGCCATCGATTCACGTCCAGCGCCAATCTGACAACAGGGTAGTAAGCTGCGACATGAGATCAACATACTACAGTAGACAAGGTGACATATCCTGGTAGTCACTTATGGAAACCGAACAAGCTCAGCCAGCCTGTTACAGTACCTTCGGCGCGGTCTACTTCCTTTCCCTCCTTTGGCCTGTATCTTGGAGCTTAAGGCGGAGCATGATCTTAGGTTGGCGGTTACGAGGGCGAGGCGAGAGACAGTGAGGATCTTCTGCTCGGTCTCCCGCTTGCTCTTCTGGAGCTGAGGGTTTGAATGTTTGCGGACATGACTCCCCACTACTACGATGCTGATCTCGTTCATCATCCATCAATGTCACTCCGTTGAATTCGTTGAGTGTGTCTTTCGCTGATGTGGAGGGCGAAGGTGGGGACGAGTGGAGATACTGATCGAATAGCATGTCGATATCTGGCTCGTCATCGACATCTTCTGGTGTCGGCCTCAAGTTGGGGATTTCTTCAGTGGCCGTTGTATCAACGCTGTACGCTTTAGACACGCAACTCGGCAAGAGTGAGGGCGAGCGTGCACGGAGAAACTGCGAAAATAGACGGTCATCTCGGGTATGTGAAGTTGAGATACAATCTGCAGACCAGTCATTCTCCAGTTGCAAACCGGCTTCACGAATAATGTCATTCGAGTACCACGCAGACTCTGTATCGCCCGGATCGGCCATCATTAGATCCGCTGCCGCGGGAAGAAACAAAGACTTCAAGTGATCTTCAGCAAGGCGGCCAGTCTGGTCGACATCTGATAGTAGTGGAGGATCAATCGTCGGACTCATGAAGCGGGCTCTCTTTGGGAGTCGCACAGGTGATACATGCAAGTTACTGACAGATGAAGAGACATACTCAACGGGTACCTCTTCGGAAACATTGTCTTTGCTAGGAGACTTCCGCTTATGAGTTCGCAGGGCTTGTTTCGTTGGAGCATTTGGTGACCGGTCGATTTTGCGGCGTTTGGGACGCTTTATCGTCATCGATTGCTGTGGCGGTTTGGGAGTTTGTGGAACGCGACGAGGTCTCCCCCTGGGTCGCTTCTTGGGCCGGTGCTCTTTCGTCTGAGGCCTCGGTGTTCTTGGACAGACCGATGACGGACCCAGCTCCCCGCCCTTCATAGGGGAACAGATCTCCTTCCAAGCCCACCAATCAACGGGCAAACTCACACCGTTCACCAGTGGTCGGACGTGGTCGGACGTCGTCCGGGGCCTCAATGATATTGTACTCGGTGCTCTTGCCGGCAGAGCTAGCAGTGGGGTCTGAAACATGTCGCTTCTTGCTATTCGCCTTTGGTGGTAACTGAGGGATGATGACTTCCAGATATGGATGGTCCTGTTTTTTCTCACTCCCACGAGGATCCTGTCCAGGAGAGCCTGGTGGCACATCAACAACCATAGCGGACTGCTCAAGTTCGCATAGCGGGCCTCTGTCTCTGCCACCCAACTCACTTTGGCAGATGGCATGTTGGAGAGGAGGAATATCGACGTCTGCGGCTTTCTCGGCGAGTGCGATGTTAGTGTCCACTTCTTGTTTCCCATCGTGACTGTGAACTATGGCGCTCCCGCAGTTATCTTCCCTGTCCGCACCGTTGAGTGTGAGCAGAGATTTTTGGGTGTTGGCAAGCACCCTGGAATTCTTGGATCTCTTCCAATGAACCAGTTCTTCCACTGCAATACATGAACAGACGTACAAACAAACGAGGATAGGGATACTCGTACTACCAGATTTTACGAATTCCGGGATTGCGTCCGTGGGCAATCGCATAATATGCCATACTGTTCCTTTCTGGTGTTGTATCTGCCGCTGTTTCTTTTAAGACTTCTCTCGGCCTCCGAACCCCTTCTGGCTCATCCATTCGCGAGCTAAATCGATTGTGAAGAAAGCTTTGTGATCAGCGTAACAGCCTGTGATTCGGGGATGAGCATCTCCCCTGTCAAATGAGTCAATAGGTTGGCTTTGCTGTGTGTGGTGTGATAGATTACCAAGATGAGTAAATGGTAGGTTCTCCTACACGCCCCTTGACAACGGCGTAGTATTCCTTGTTCTTTCTGCGCGGTAACGATCCCATACCGATTGCAGTCAACTGAAGTCGAAGGGTGAACCTCAATCACTTTCACGACATCGACTATTCTACAAGTATTAGCTGTGAGCTGGCGAAACGAGAGGGGCCTAAATCTTGGGAGAATTTCGGGGCCAGATACGGAAAGCAACCATGTCAATGGTGTGATTGGGTGACCTTAAAAGGCGTTCTAACTCAACATGACATAGTGTCAAGCTAGCTCCCGAAAGCTGCCCCTGCTACAGAGAGTGCTCGAAATGTGCTGACTACCGACGGACACATTGCACTCTTCCTGAACGTAGAGTCATGATCATTTGTGGGCCAGTCAAATCCCATAAAGGTACAGATGGCTTTCGTCAGAATCCAATCACAGAGCATATCACACCGAAGCGCGTGTGATTTCTTGGCGTGCACGGGCGACAAACTAGGTGCGTTTGTTTGTGACCCGTGCACATTACGTCCGGCCTAATCCCAGTAGGGTCTAGCCATCTCTGCCTATTGGTTCATGGTTTCCTTTAGGCAATTCAGTGGTTGCCTCACAACCTGCACGTGCGTTTGACCCTATCCCTCATGTCAACCAATTGAATATCAGTGAGAGTTCACCGGTTGACGATTCTACAGCCTTGGGCTTATAGATCCAAGATGATCCCCTCTTGCATTGCAGCAACATTATCCGCTCTCTGGAACACTAGAAGCCTTCATTCGCAAAGGGGTATTCCAGAGATGTTGCAAGACCGTGGGCTCCCCAACGCAGTTTTCGAACCACATTCGAGGCAGACTCTGGGTCTGAGATTTGAGTTCAGGAACTCCACAAGTAGAAATGCGAGCTTGATTTAGTGTTACAGGGGTAATAGGTTCCCTGGTCCAAGCCATAGAATAAGGACGCTTCGACTGATGGGCGTGAGGCTGCTTCGCGGCAGCCGCCTAGTCGGCCACTTCCATGTGCCTATGGGACAGTGGGTTTGCCTGTTTTGCACCAGTCCACATAAAGCCTACTCGCAACCTTCAGCTGCAGTGTGACTTACTACAACCACCAATACCTACCTTCGTCGTGTCATCAGCATATGATGTCTCACATTTGACCCTTTTCACCACGTTCTACATCCACTGTTTTGCTCTTGCTCAATTCCACAGCGGCCCCGGTTGAGCCTTATACTAAAGTGGCCTCTGTGCAGCTTAGCCTTGGTTATTCTTCCTCTCGAATTCCTTACACTGGCATGATGAAAGGAATACTTACACACTGTCACACCCCTTGAATTTGTCGGTCTTGATGATGGGCTTGTGCCTTCACCAGCATACGACTTTTCTATACACCGCACTCCGCCGCCCAAACCCATTCGCCTATCAATGACGTCCCAGACAACCAATCCAGGCTATAAGCAGCTTCTGAGGCACCTCTTTATTATGGACTGAGGAATATCGAGCTACAGAGCGAATTTGGTAACGCCGACACGTGTTCTAGTCAGAAATTACGCCCTCTCAATAAAGTCTCGTTGGGCATATCGCTGAAGCCTACTTTCTTCATGGCTACCGAGATTTGTAATTTTTTGTGTTCACATCCCTTCTCCGCACTATCGCGAATAGTAGATACCTATCCACATCGCCAGGCGATTTGGGAGGGTCTGCAAGTTGCGTAATGGGAGTACAAGTCGTAGACCAGAGGTGCGAAAAAGGCGAGTTTCAATCTCTGGAGTCAAGCAAAGGTGAACACTCTCCAAACGCCAGCGCCACATCAAGTGCTTGGAGGACTATCTGACTTCTCAAGGATAGAAAGTGGCCTGTGCGGGAGCACGTTGGAAGCTACGACAGGATAGGCAATGGGATAACCCGGAGGATGTCTTTATCAGTAACTGGACCTCACGCATTCTACGACTCCCAACCAAATCTTACCAAGTGCGCTTGGCGGATGAGCAACGCAATGATGGAGTCGTGGGGGTGCGGGGCTTGGAGGACGATCGAGATCTGGGGTGTAGTGGATCACAAAATTACTTACTAGGCTAATAAGCATTGTGTGGGTTCCCTAGTTTACTGGGTCATCTTGAACTCGCGGCAAATTCCGGCACTCACAGGTGCGCCTGTGCTAAAGTGACGGCCAGTCGTTCGTGACTGAGGATGCACCGGATGATCCTTCCGGGCAATGTTAGAGAGGACGGCAGCTAGTCGAAATGAACTCAGGGCTTTCCGTGCATCGTTCGGTCGCTGAACCGAGGTCTCATTCTTTGTTACTGGAATCGACAACTGATCAGAACGACTAGCGTACGATTTGTCGGTGTCACGGCTTTGGCGAATATCGTCTGTATTGGTGTCCTGCTTGTTGAACTCCGCATCTGTGCTTTTCGCCATGATGACTGTCTCTGACGCCTAGTTGATTTTACAATTACCAGCGGAAATCTCATGGACGACTAGGCAGAAGAAGCTCACATATAAAGGGTGCTTAGACGACTCCAGTCTACGACAAAATCATTCCAGCACTCATGTCTGAAAGTCTTCAGTCAGGAAGGCATCTCGGGCCAGGTTGAGCATAATCCACGCATTTCGGAAGGATCTCCCCTCGAAGGAAAGGGTAGGACCGAAAAGCCCGCCAATCGGCCTCAAGTGTTTAGAATGGTTAGCCACAGCTGTCAAACTGGTGCATCACTCGGAGCTTACGTAGCAAAATCATTTTGCGTTATTCCACTAGTTTGTTATCCAATGAAAAAGGAGTAGACAAAACTCATTAGAAGGATAAAGTTGGAAACTGTAGGTGGTCTTGGTAACTTTAGTGTCGCAAAACAACATATCTTAGGGCGTTTCTACTAGCGGAACTACCATCACAGCGGAATCATTATCCTAGTGGAATCATGTTCTTGGTGGAACCGTTGTCTTGACGGAACTGTCATCCTATAGTGGGATGTGGGGGACTGACTTGAGGAAAAGGGGCGTCCTCCATTAGTTGGAACCCGGCATTTGCAAATTTGGCGGGCGTGAGCAGGCTGCACGAGCCCCAGATAGACTAAAGGCTTATGTATACAAATCTCTAAACTAACAGAGGAAGTGTACTAGGAAAGTACTATCATCAGCGAGTGAGACATAACGATAGCTCCCCCAGTAAATTGAGGAGAAAAATGGTAGCCAAATATCCTCCGATTCATTGGGCCGCATGGGCACATATGGAAAGCACCACTTCGCAACTCGTCGAAATTCACCTCGTGACATTACTTCTGACCGGATGGTAAGTATGGGTGAACCACAGTCTATACGTAGCGTTGGTTACAGGCGTTGATGAACCACGATCCGATCTCATCACTTGGCCACCTCAATATTAGTGCTGCCTTTTGAGGAATGGCTCAGAACTCTGAAAACACAACCTGTTTCCTAGCAACTGCATTCGCTTGTCCATGCGCCGAGACAATTCGTCACTCACGCAATAAACGAAGAGAACCCCACCGAAAATGCTTATGGTCCGCGGATGTGTGTTGATCATGTGAAGACCTCCTCATCGGACTAATGCAGATTTCCGTGGAGATAGTGGTGATCGGCGATCGAGCGTCGAACGCATCCAACAATACCAACAGCTTATGCGTACTGCATTACACAGAACTCACGCACAACAACCCCCGGAGAATGAACCTTCATATTTCAGCTCTTCCCGCCATCTGAAGCAATAGCAGACCTTCTACGAGGATAACTGTATCATCGGAATAACGATGAAGCCCGAAAGGTTGCCAACTAGCAGGCAACGACTATCTTCTACTGCGTGCAACCCATGCAAGATCAAGCACCAGGAATGCAGCAAACACAAGCCGACATGTCACTACCGCCGAAGGAAAGGTGCTGACTGCGAGGACGCTGACGTCTCGACACAGAAAGACACGGTTCTCACCTCAAGCCGCAAAGGAACCTTCTCGAACACTGAAATATCGATAAAGGCGTCGACGAGTAGTGACGTCGATAGAGATACCCAGATTTTGTCGGCGGCTGCGCTTGCAGAGCGAGACACCCCTCTATGCAGACGTCTTGTGCGTAGCCATCCTAATATATCCGCATATCCGTTTATGCTGACTACTCGTAGTCAGTCTTGAATTCAATGTGCCCAAGCGATGAAATCTCCATCGGTGAAGACACAGAGATGATCAGCCCGTCATCAGTCTCGACTGAATCTGTCGAGCTTACGCCTTATAGAGAAAGCCCTACCGGGTTCCTCCTTGTTGTCTTGGCGTCGAATTGCGCGGACAACTCACCGCCAGGCAAGGGTGATTTTCTAGAAGAAAATGAGCTTGCGGACTCGGATCTTACTTCCATACCATGCTTTGCAAGCTCGGTCTCCAAAAGTGTCACTCCCTTAGACGAGCAGCTCCCTGATATAACCACTGCCAAGTGCTGGATTACTTCTTTCCTGAGCGGACCGAACCTTTTATTCAGAATATGTAACGACACTAAGAGTTGGAAGCTTCTCAATTCAATCTATGCGAAAGAACCCATCAGCCACACTTCAAAATGTTCTGTCTGGCTTCAGTTGGCTATTGGATGCCGACTCACAACTGGTACTACGAGGGAGAGTCACGTCGCACTTTTTGAAAGTGGGTACCATTATCTGGAATGGTGTATTGAGCAAGCCGATGAGGTATCACAACTCTGGCTCGTGCCTCCATTGTTACTTGTTTGTCTCTATTGTCTGGATTCCAAGCCGAGGTCATGTTGGCTTACTCTCGGTACCGCGATTCGGCTTGCTCAAGTGCATAACTTGGATCGCGAATGGGACAACCGCGAAAGCCTTTCGCGAGAAGAGTACGAGCGGTGGAGAGGGGTTTGGCGTGCTATGATCTCTCTAGATGCGTATGTTCCTCAAGCATCGAGTCGGTAAGTGGTCTTGACTAATCTAATTTTAAGATGGCTGTCCATTACACTCGGGAAACCTCCTCAAATCAGTCAGAGCACTACGCAGGACTCTTTTGTGAAGGTAGGAACTACCCTGTGAGGCTGCAGTGGACCATTTATCTGACTCTCTACCAGATGGCTACTCAAGATCTTACGCTTCCAGACAACAGCATCGAGGTCAACATGACCAAGCTGAGCGTATTGATGAGCCGCTTTCAGGCGTGTCGCTCCCAGGGTCAAGCACATGCTGATGATAAAGAGTCGTTCCTCAGTACACTTGAATTATGGGCGTCAAAGTTGCCACAAAATCTACAATGCTTCGCAAATACTGACGGTTCATACTCTTTACAAGCTAATGAGGCAGGCTGCGTAAGCGCAAATCTAGGATGCATGTTGAAGTGAGAGCTGACCGCTTAAGCTTTATCTGGAGATATTCTACTTCACGTCAGTAATGACACTAAGTCAGGCTGAATTCTTTGCGTCCTTATCTTCGGCGGCGGGATCGAACCCACCTCAACAAAGACTATTTTCTCAAACATGGTATGATTAATTGTCCTGCAGGATAGTCTCACTGAATAACCCGGACTCGGCAGCGTCAATGCTTGCACCCAGATGGGTCATGTAGCGTCAACGATGTTGGACCGCGGCTTCCTGGGCAAGCCAGACTGGTGCATTATGTGAGAATCTCCATAATATCAAGGCATAGAATAGTTCTAACCAATTCCAGGACCTTTTTATATCATGCTGGTCTTGTGCTGATTTTGAGTCTCAAGATACCGAGCATCTCCCTACGTTACAAGCTCAAGCTCATCAGGAGAATTTCTCCCCAGCACCAGAGTCTTGAGGCGATCATGAAGATCTTGTCCACTTGCGCACCTCATAATCCTCTTGCGAGACGGTATTACGCAGTACTGCATTATCATCAACAGGTAAAATTACGCTGAAACGGTGAGAGCTCGTTTCGTGAACGGAAAACGAAGCCGTCAACGGGAGTACCACTGAACTTTTTTCGACAGAGCCTTGCCGAACTACCAAGAGCGTGGGTTGGGAATAGAGGTAGGGGTAGGTCAGTCCATTGAGGAAGTCGGTGCGCAGAGGTACGCGAGTGTCATGGAAGGGTTTGATCTTGTCAACATCCATGACGATATGGACAGTGTCAACTAGAAAGAATGGTCAATCATCCAGAAATGAATGGGAATGGAAATGTCCCAGGTCCTTATATGTACCACCAAATTTAATTAGCTTAACATGAGTGAAGCCATGCTTCAACACCTGAGATGAGAATACCTCTGAAGTATTACTAGTAGACGATTGGCCCCAGAAGTTAGCACTTAGGCGCCAACTAAAAAAATTGCCGAATCAATATGTAATCAAACCCCTCTGTCTCCTCGCGCTTTATGCTCGGTTAGACCATTTTTCAATGTGGAATTTCCCACGGCTCTTCGGTTTTCTTCATGCAACGAGAACATCGCACGCCGTGCATCTTGACAAGTTCAGCTTAGTTCATGTCTCTGAGTCTTTGAACAATCACAGGCAGGAGGTGAAAGTTCCACAGCCTAAATGCTTTGCAGGCTTTGGATTTGGAAAAGCTTGATATCCCAAATTCAAGTTGGATGCGTGGTTTTGAAAGAGACATCAGGGCTGGATTTGGTACACTTGAGGAGTGTGGATTAGGGTTAGTAGAGTACAGGTTGGAGCAACCAGGTTGAGGTCATATTTTATTCTCAAAATCATGGCTGAGACACACGCAGAAAGGAGGTTTCACCCATGTCAACCTGTCGATAATCCAAGATTCGTGAGATCAAGTGTTGCTAGACTCCTCGCCGTAGTAGCTCAGTAGTAGCTCAGGAGCCCGCATAACATGCACTTTAGCTTGGCGAGTCCGCTCGTAATTGTTTTGTCACCACCAGGACCTCTACCAATGGTGTTCCCGACAGATAGCTTACAATCTTTCCGGTACCGTAGTCAAAGATTTGAGTGAAATGTGCCAATCGGCGATGGCGTGTACGAAAGGGTGCAGGTGCAGTGAGTGGCGTATAGCCCACAATTCGATCGCCGATGCAATTTTGTCACCTGACCAGCTATCTTAGCTCGGTCACTTCTTTGGCACAGACCTCTCCTCTCATATTCCTTGCGCGCGGACGCACTTACCAATGGGTGCACTTATTAATGGGTGCATTTCAGTTATGTTAGTCGATTTTCGTTCGACTTCGTGTTGTGGCTGTGATGAAGATTCGTGCTACAACCTACCACCCTTATGCCCGCTGTTGCCCCCTCGCCTGTCCAGTGTGATTCCTCAAACCATCATTTCTATTCTCGTTGAATACGATCCCAGGATCATACATCCTGCATGGCCAAGACATACATCCACTGGGGATTCTGTCTAGCATGAACCCATCTCGATTCTGCGATTCGTTGTGATATGTTGTGCGTTGCTTCCTCATGATCACAGCATTGGCCTAAAGCTTCTGATGAAGATATCTCGC